GCCCAAAAAGACTCTTCTGATATATCAAGAGAAGAACACGTAAGAGTGATGCTATCCCACCACCTCTTATGCTTGAAGATGACCAGACAAACATGGCTGAGGCTTTGTTCAAGCACTTTAGTCAAGTATTCTCTGATAATATTGATACCAGCTTTGTAACTTTTCCAGAAGGTAACTTGAAAATGGCACCCTTATACATTGGAAAGGATACTGTCCTAAAGTGGCTTCTAAGACTCAATCCTGGTAAGTCCAGTGGCCGTGATGAACTCCACCCACGCCACGTATATTAACAGCATTGGCTGAAAACATAGCCGAGCCATTGTCGGTAGTCTTCAATATGTCTCTGGACCAGTGTAAATGTCCAAGAGACTGGGAAGATGCCATCATTAGTCCGGTCTTCAAAACCGGATCCAGAAACTTAGTTCAGAACTATCGTCCTGTTAGTTTGACCAGTATTGTTGTTAAACTACTAGAAAGAATAATTCGTGATGCTATCATTCAGTTCATTGAAGGGAACAAACTTTTCGCTGTGGAACAGCATGGTTTTAGAGCAGGTCATTCTTGCTTGACCAACCTTCTTTTGGCCAGAGAAAGTTGGACAAGCTCAACTGATGCTAATATACCGGTGGATGCCATATTCATCGACCTTAGCAAGGCGTTTGACAGGGTTTCTCATCCAGGTCTTCTAGTAAAGTTAGGTAGTCTGGGAATCAATAAAGTGGTGGCCGACTGGATTCAAGACTTTCTAAAGGACAGAAGACAAAGAGTACGAGTTAACGGGGTTTTATCAACATGGGAATCGGTTAAGAGTGGCGTTCCTCAGGGTACAATTCTAGGCCCACTTCTTTTCCTGATTTATTTTAATGAGATTCCATCGGTAGTTAAGTCATCCTGCTTACTGTTTGCCGATGACATCAAGATATGGAGGGCTTTACACGATGACAGTGATCAACTTGCTTTGCAGGAAGATTTAAACTTGTTAAGTGATTGGTGTAAGCACTGGGCCTTGGAGATTAACTTAAGCAAGAGTGTAGTTATGCATGTATCTCATAGTCACGTGCACAATTACTCAATGAATGGCATTACTCTTCCAGTGGTCACTGGGTACAAGGACTTGAGAGTGGTTGTGCAGCATGACTTGAAAACAGCAACAAACTGTAGAGCTGCAACCACTAAGGGTTTTCGAATATTATGGGTCATACGCAAGGCTTTTGCGAACTTTGACCCTGATATATTTCGTATGTTATATCCGACTTATATCAGACCTCATTCGGAATATGGGATCCAGGCAGCTAGCCCGTGTTTCAAATACGAAATAGACTCATTAGAAAGAGTGCAAAGAGTAGGAACTAAGCTAATGAAGGGTTTCTCAACCGTCTCATATGAGGAGAGGTTAAGTCGACTGGGTTTATTTCCACTGTCATACAGACGACTTAGGGGTGACCTAATACTAGCATACCGTATCCTGAGAAATGATTTTGGAGCTAATTTACCTAACTTATTTCTTCCTTCTAGCACCAACCAATTGCGACGACATCACCTCAAGGTTCAAAAACTACGGTCGAATCGTCTGAGTCTGGAGATCCGTTTTTCGCATCGAATTGTGAACCATCGGAACTCCCTACCGGAACACGTCGTATCAGCGCCATCCGTTGATTCACTCAAGGCGAGATTGGACCTCCTGTGTGCAACAAATCGAAAGGATTAACACAGGCGTATATAGCCTACTATCCTAAATAAATTGTAAACTGTAAAGTATGCCTATGCTCTAGAATCTGTCGAAGGGTGAAGATATGATCAATACACCCACCCTCTTTCTGGTCTTAAGCCTGCCTGGCTTTCTCGTGTTTTTGCCTCCCGAGGACCACTTTTAGTCTACGCATTATTATTATTCAACCTAGAACTTTGGATACCATATATATTAGTCAACCTAATCCCAAACCAAGACTGTTCTGTAGCAGTATGATTTTGTTGAACTAAATAATTTTCTAGGTACCTTTGAACTCAAAATCAAACATTTGGAAATCCTTTTGTATAACATTCTTTCCAAGTTTTGATGTTGAAATATAGTTTGTGTGATAAACCGGATCAGTAGTGACTATTAATGACTGACTGACTGACTGACTTACTGACTGAGTTTCAACATGGAACTTTGCACAGAGGTACAGTAGTTCAAACTACTACGCTCCATGTGCACACAGAGGAGGGGCAAAGTTAAACTTTAAGCACCAGTAGTAAGTAAGTACCACCAACGGGAAAATGACCATAAACGACGCACCAGCCACATGACAAATGCAGACTCAAAAGGCATGAAACTGTTACACACACACACACAGGATACCTTTCTCTGATGTGTGACAAAATTGCTTCTCACTTCTTGATTAGACTGTCAGCAGAGTAATTTAATAATCACATTCTATGCATGTAGTTAGTTATCTACTTAGTCTTCTAACCCTAACAATAACCCTAACGTGAAAATATCCATCCCTAAATTGGTTCTAATCTAACTTGAACCAAGCTTAATTTTGCCCTTATTTGTTTAGCCTATCTATCCCTAACCTGTCCTTAGCTAGCCTAAACCTAATCTGAAACTACTTACCAGATATCCATCCCATTTACTAACACATAACACTTCAATAAGCATATTTTATTCATGATTACAACATTATTGGGCAGGTTTGTGAAACCTGTCCAGTATGCGCTTCGAGGTCATTGATGAGGTCGCACTCCACTAGTACTTACTGGTGCTTAAAGTTTAACTTGGCCCACATAGATATAGAAAAGAAATTCAAAGGGAGTACATTGAGCAGAAATCTACGAGAAGAAGAGTACTGATATGAAGGGAAAAATATGAAGATCTAAGAGGTTACAAAGAGTGAATGTATTTATGCCTTTGCGAACAACAACAATCTCAAACCATTGGTTTTTAGTATCCTGAGGATCTCAGCCAACCAACCTGCGCACACCTCCTTATGTGACTGTCTGAAACCATCTGTCAAAAACTTCATCGATTGATGCTATTTGGTATTTGGTTTGACCCTCCCCCCCACCACAAGCTCCTTTCTAACCTACCCCTTTGTCAAGTAAGTAACACTGCTCATCGAGGAAGGCGGTGGCGCGGAATGTGTAAATTTCAGCTGTTATTGATGACTTCAGTCGAAGCACTTATGCAAATATAGAATAAAAACTGTTTTCTGAAATTGACCAGAAGAGGGAATTACTACCAATTCAACTGCGTTTGTGGTGGAGCCAGCTGCTGTAACAACTTGGTTTTTCGTGCTCTCTCAGGAACATCTACCAGTGTGGCTACATAAAGGTTTAGTAGAAACCATCAACATGTCGATATAAGACCACCTGGTCCAAACCTGTCACAAAACCAGCCAGCACTGAAGAATCCTTCTCTATAATCATCTACCGGGTACCAAATAAACTGCCAACAGGCAAACATTGAGGTATCGCATGCTTCAAACAGCAGAGGCTATCGCAATTCGCCTGCTGCTCTGTGTGCAGAAGAAATAGGTCCAGCCACCACTACTGCCTTCAGTGAACACTGTCAATTAATGAATTTGTATTATTATCTTATATATGTCCAAACCAAGTTCACTTTTAACAGTTTGAAAAAATTTGGGCATTGGGTATAGTCTTTACAATATTGAAATAATCCAGAAAAAACATTTCAGAAATCTCAAAGAGCGTCTAATATATCGAGAAGCACTTCATATGAAATGGAATCCAAATTGTCTGAATAGAAATGATGGACTAAAACAGAATTTGTCCTGGTTACAACACCTTCCTCCCCCATGAAGTGACAAAATCAACACGAATGTGATAAGCAATTTCATCATTATGTAAACACACGCTGCTTTTATAATTTTCATGTGCTTATCAAATCCAATAATCTACACTTGGTTTTGTTATCTTTACCAATTGGCCAATTTAACAACGAGAAATGATCTTGTTCTGAGGAACGATGATTAAGTTGTTATATAATGCAGGTTGATATTGTGTAAATTCTGGTTTAATAATACTACTTTGATAAAGCAGCTATTAGTATTAAATGGCGAAACGTCAGTAAAACCAACAATATCGTTTTGTTTTTCATTCATTGGGAAATATAAAAAAGCTTTATTGTATTATTATCTTTCCTAATTTCTCTGATATCCAGTGTATTATGTTAATGTCATCGAACTGTAATCCATTGATATTATTATTATTGTTGATTCGATGTTATTTAAACAACAATAATGTTGTTCATAACACTAATTCATTCATTCACTATAATGTGTATATACCTGTAGAACCTTGAGCTGCAATCTACGAATGTTTGGCATGCGATTCGCTCCCGCCAAATGCAAGATGATGTTACAGGATTGGGCTACACCGACTCCTAGATTAGAAATAGGAAGTGAAGTTGTAGAGCACGTTGACCGCTTCACTTACTTGGGAAGTACCATCAGCCAGTGCCAATGGGTTCATCTCTGATGAAATCTCAATACGAATACAGAGGGCTAGTTTGGCATATGCCAGTTTACGCTGTCTCCGACGTAGACGTGATATCCGACTATCGACCAAAGGGCGTGTGTACTGCTCAGCGGTCCGCTCCATCCTCCTTTATGGCTGTGAGCAAGACCTGGCCATTGAGAGTGGAAGACAATAAAAGCCTGGCTAGCTGTCTTTGATCATAGGTGTCTGCGTTCTATCTCCTGTGTGAAGCGGTATAATAAGATGAGCAATATTAAGGTTAGGCGTCGAGTGCTAGGTAGGTGGGAAATAAACGACGAGGCTGTGAAATTACATCGACTGAGATGGTTAGGACATGTGCTACGTATGCCTAGTAATCGCCTTCCTCGACGGGCAATGTTAGCTGATATAGGGTCAGGCTGGATATACATAAGTGCGTTGAAGAAAAAGATATGTGACTATATCGAAGCAAACTTATCCATTTACATCAAAAATATGGTATACTAGTTGATAAATATACTACTGAAACTGAAACTCACTTTAGTTGAAATCATACAACCCAATATTTGTGTAGAAATAAATAACTGATTAATAATTTTAACTGCTTCATTTACTTCAGCTGAACCGAATACCTGAGAATTTGCATGTTGGGCGATGAAAGCAACTATATCTAAGTTATCAGTAATGATAGAACAGTCTGTTGCATTCAATGCGCTTCGAAATGAAACAAATGGCGTTGTATTTATTAAGGCTACACTTCCAGAAGTAGCTGGTATTCGACTAATTGCATCAGCAAAACCATTGCCTATACCAGTTATAAGATGTTGGGTATGCTGAGTAGCTGATTCTTCAAGATGTAATATTAAAATAGGCATCAGACTGGCTGCCTTTAAACGTGTTGCTTCTTGCCAGTCGGAGAGATCTTTACACAGACCGGGGAATAGTCTAGACGCTGATCGATAGATAAGTTCACGACAACCTGCAAAACAAAAATGCTTTGAAATATATATATATATTGAATGGATTATTTAATAAAGTATGATAAAACATTACAATCCTAAGCCAAATGGCTTTACAAAATTTGACAAAAAAAGGTTTCAAGAACATTTCGATGTTTTTAAAAAAGGTTATTTAAAATAAAGCAAATTAAAATCCCGTGATGATGTAAATAGCTACTCATAAAAGTAACCAAAGTGGAAATTCATCATTTTTCATTGTTGGTGTTGGAAATTCATCAAACAATACAGTTTATAATAATTATAATAATAACAATATATTATTTGTATATTTGTGAACGAACATCACAGAAAACTTGTGACCAATGAACAGTAAGCAAGTCGAATCATCTGGGAGAGAATAAAGGATGCACTGGATACAGAATTCCGCCAGCTCAACCGGACAATATGGATTCAGGAAAGGTAAATCATGTGCTGATTAAATTGCAACTCTATGCATCGTATTCATAGAACAAAGCATAGAATGGCAGTCAAACCTTTCCCTACCTCAACTTCCTTCATCGACTTCAAAAAGACCTTCAACAGACAGTGTTGACTAAGAAGTAATTTCGAAAGTACTTCAACATTACAGTATGGAGTGGCGAAGTCTTTATCAACCTCATTCAACAGCTATATGACAATGCCACGTGTCACGTGATCCACAACGGGAAACTTTGAGAGGCGTTCGAAGTGAACACAGGAGTAAGACAAGACTGGCTGCCTGCCTATTATCATCGATGATGATATTCTTAATTGTGGTGGACTGACTGGATTGTGCGTCACACTATGCACAAGGAGCGAGGAGACAGGAGTACGCTGGGCCGCCGATAAGAAAACTCTGGAAGATCTGGATTTCGCAGATGATATATGTGTAATGTCACACGAACTGGAAGACTTGTAGGCAGCTGTAAACCAACAAACTGGCAGAAGAGGCTGACCGGCAGCGAAGACAGGACTCATCCAGGTGAAGATAGAGAAGACGGAGGTGATGAAGATAACCAGCTGATGATGAACAGCAACTGCAACAACAACCAGCACCAATCATTATAAGTGGGAGAGATATGACAGGTGACTTCCTGGCTTCACTTGTATAGGAAGCATCATTTCAACCACAGGCAGTCGGACAACACGGATGAAGATGTTAAAGCCAGTCAGAATCGGAAAGGCAAGATACGCCTTAACCAACCTGAAATCAATTTGGAAATATTCTGCACTAACTCAGAATAAAGAACAAGATTCGGATTTTCAACACCAATATCAAGTTGGTCCTTCTGTACGGGTGAGAAATCTGCACTGCGTGTAACGAAAAGGATTTCCAGCAGGTTGCAGACTTTTATCAACAGCTGTCCCCTTCGCTCCATACTGAAGATCAAATGGCTGGTGAGAAAGCATGAGCAACAAGAAACTCTGGTAACAAAACAACTACGAATCGATCGCTCAACAAATATGTAGGAGAAAATGGAAATGCATCGGGCATACATTGAGGAGACCGTCGAATGACATCGCGCGCAATGTAGGTCATCGGCCGAGTGGAATCTCAAGGGGAAGCGACGAGTGGGTCGTCGGCGTAAGGGTGACATGGAGGAGATCGTGTGGAGGAGGAGGAGGAGTAGATGAGAGATTATGGGCAATCGTGGAGCTAGCCAAATGAAGAGGACAACAGAAAAACAGAAGCGAAGATGTGTTGTGGAAGACCTATGTTCCACTCGGAACCCAAGGGAATAATACTAATAATAATAAGCAAGAGATTTAAATTATGAATGTCTTCATAGTTTATTCTGAATCCACTCACGATTCGATAAAATCCAATTAATGACTTGGATATACTGGTGCCATTATGCATAAATGCAACAATGTTTAAACATTAAAGTATATGCTGGACAGCAATAATTGAAGGTTTGACTAAGTAGTTTGACCCAACATTAAGAAGCTATAAAATATCTGATTGTAAAAACTATTTAGATAGACTATATGAAGTGTACCATGCGCTCATAGTGAAACACCGTTTCATCTACAAAATTATCAATTATACATAACACAAGAGGAATAATCACTTCCTTCTACTGATAAATCTCAACAAACCAATCAAGGTAGGATATTTTTCATTCTACCTATTTGGTGACACTCCTAATCTGACAAACGTCTAATTTTTAATCTGTGATGTTAGATTAACCCTGAGGAATTAAATGCTTGCTTCTCATAGCAAGTAAGATAACCTGTTACTTATCGAAAGTACTGCATTTCTAAAAGACATGAAGACTAAGTATTGAAGGAATGCAAATACAATGTTTCTTTGTGCCACTGCTTCAGTTAATGAGAAACAAATGGCAAATGAAACCAAAAACTAGTTATAGTATCAGGTAAAGGAAGTTAAATGATGAGGCTTTACAAGCTGGAGTCGTCACAACATGTACGGTCAGGATCTCACTTGGTAAGATTATGTACCTAGAATAGAATAAGTTAAGGAAAGTTAAGAGTAATCAAGTCCAAATGCAGGATCAATCCATGGAGTTATTGGCCGCTGGCTTATCTCTTAGATTGCCCGGTTCGGTTCCAAGACGTGTAAAACATCCAATCAAGCACGTTCTCGTAGTGTGTTTATTGCAATATAGCGTTATTGTTCGTTTCATTGTTTTATGGTACTTAGAAATGTTACAAACTTAGAAATGCTGCACTGTTTTTATATAATTCTATGAAAACAAGTGTCTGCTTATGTTTATCTAAAGGAATACACCAATTGTTATTAAGCCGATATTCTGTGCTAGTAGTCTTTTAACTGTTGTTTGACAAGTTTGTGTGGAAAGGAGTGATCACGCACGAAATACAATAGATGTCTGGGCGTCTGAAAACAAAATAGCAGCCACAATAATATTTCTACATCATTTTAAATAAGACAATATTGGAAACTTGAAATTAGGCATGTTAGTTAGTCGATTGTGTCTATCCGAATACCGTCTGAATAACGTCACCTTTCTGAACTCAATAAGACTGTTTAGTATGTTACCAATGGAAATCCATATAAATTATATTGGATAACGCATAACTAACTAATCCGTATATGATTAACCCCTTAACCCTGTAAAAGCTTGTGTTTATAACACATCATAGGTACAACAAGCTGAATTTCATGACGTCACATTTTGCTGATAACAAATGCTAATCAGAAAGGCACAAGGAAGATGATTTGGGTTGAAACTTTGCGATTGTGGTTGCAACTAAAAACTACTGCCATTCACTGAATCACATGCTTAAACATAGAGCATTTGATAAATTTGTAAAAGAAACAAATAAAAACCGAACTAAATAAGAACACACTAAACATCAATCTCTCTGAACGAGTGTTAAGATACTTTGGTATTTATTGAATCAACTTACCCAATATTGGTCGTTTACATCCATATGGATAACTGAAAGGAGCACCTTTATCAAAGTCCAATTTATCTTTCAATTGTTCTTCATTTTCCTTCTCAAACTTTAGTCCTGAAAGCTTACAAAGTTTAACCAAGCTTACAAACATACCTATACGATGCCATAAATCAACAGTGACTGAGCGAATATCATCTGATTCATCGATTAAGCCAGATAAGAGTAGAGGTAGTAATCTTGTTTGATAGGAATATCTATCAGGTAGATCTAACAACCACGAACCTATCAATTGAATGACAGCCTGTCTTACTGCCAGAGATGAGTCAAATAGTCTTTGAGTCAATGGGGAAATGACATTGTCTACAAGCTTTCCTTGACTAACCAGCAGAACTTTTTCCAGTGCCAACACAGTCTCTAACCTAACTTTCGAGTGCTGGTGTGTAAGATTGGACAACATCGGTGATATAATGGATTCTGATATCTGATAAAAACGATGGCATTTACGTTCTGATAAAACGACTGCTATCTTACAAGACAGTTTCTTGATCTCGTGATACGGGTCCAAGAAAGTCCTTTGAAGTATTGTAATGTAATCATCGAGGAATGGTGATGTTTCATGCACCTTAGTCACCAGGGTGTACAGAAGGTTGAGAGTTGCATAACGAATTTCCTCTGAGTGTTCTGTTATATCCTTCTGTCCCAAACGCACTAAAAGCACAGGAACCAACGAAGGGAGAAGAATCGAAGCATCCTTGACTACGTTCACAAACAGTTCTAATACTTTTATTGATAATTCGCGATTAACTTCAACAGGATCGTTTAATGAGTTTGCTAAGTTTCCTCCTATCAAACTCAATACAGTTTCTTCTTGACATCCTTTGGTATTTAAGTAGGTTTCTATAGATTTTAAAGCTCTCTTTCTTACAAACCTGTCTTCATCAACCAGCAAGGCAGAGCATCTAGAAACATCGGAAAACTCTCCGCTCATGTTGTGTTGTTTAATTTGTTGCGCTTAGTAGCAACTGTATAAACAAATATAATAACAAACATCTAATCTTTCTGTAAGTTGATAGAATAAATTTATTAATCAAGGTGAACCTAATTTTAGCCTCTACATAGCGGATGGATTCTAATTCACTATCCAATGTCCATTATCTTTTTGACGAGCTGGTGATTTCTTGGCACTCGCTTCTTCATGTTCAGAAGCGGCCCTTGGTTTTTGACAGACTTCAGTGCAGTTCATCCCCTCTACTGCTGCAGCTCTGATGGTGTACATCAATTTATTTTTGAGAAGAGGAGGAGGAATTCGTGATCCTTACAATAAATGGCGTTACCGGGACTCACAAATTTCGTCTTGTTGGGTTATCCCCTAGTAGGGCAGACATATGCTTTAGGGAAAGTGGCAATGGATGTGTTTATATGGTGTCTGGACAGTTTTTGGAGTGATTAAGTAGGAAGTGTAAGAGAACCAGGTTTAAGTCGAGTAAGACAACGAGAGTGCATGCATACAGAAGCCATAACGAGGCGTTTATTGAGAGGGTACATTGTAGGACTCTTTGGATTGTATGCTTGTCTGTGAAGAATACGGTGGCATATACCTCATCATTCAGTTATGAATCCGAAAAGTCTGAAAAGCTTCGATTAGTTTTTGACAATGCGCTAGATACAGTGGTACATATTAAAATCATAAGCTTTTACAGGGACTTAATACAATCAGTAGTTCAGTTGGAGCACTTGGACGCCTCCAAGACAGTGCTGTATCGCTTGCCACTTACAAAGAAGAGGCGTTTCTACAGGTGAAGATTCCGAAACAAGATAGACTAGCATTTCGTCCGTTATGGTGGGAAGATGGTGAAATAACCCAAAGGGCTTCTGAGTATTTATCAACTGTTCGTCCACCTGATGCTGCCCTCTGCGCTTATTATGCCTTGAGCAAGACTGTTGAGACCCTTATTAGTGAAAGATCAGATACAGTTCCCAGACTTGTCGAAAGGTGTTCCTATGTGGGTGACTACTTGACATCTTGAACAGGCTATTTTCCTAGTTGAACAGATGAGGTCCATCCTTGAGAATGGAAGTTTTAGACTGATGAGATGGGTCAGTAACTCCATACAAGTAGTAGAGTTCATACTGTCAGAAAAAATTGCACCAATAGTGAGAGAAATGGACTTTGAAAACACCTTATCCAGGATACCTTAAGTTTGTCATGGGACACAAAGGAAGATTCTTTCGTTTATAAAATCCGTGTACTTGATAGGCCCACAACCAGGCGTGGAATTTTGTCAGTAGTTGCCTCATTATATGGCCCTTTAGGCCTTCTATCACCTATGGTCTTACCCACTTAACAACTACAACAAAGATTATGCAAATAGAGCTTAGATCGGGACGACAAATTACCTGAGAGGGAAAGTGAAATCTGTAACAAATTTCTGCATAGTTTTGAAGTGGTTGCGAATTTGTCATTTCTGAGTTATCTACGACCTCCGTACATGGATCAGTCAACCAAAGAGTAACATATCCTCTGCGATATCTCTGAATGTTTTGTGGAGCAGTGCCTTACATTAGATATTCTGAAGAACACTGCCTATGGTCGTCTTATTTTGATGAAACCTAGGGCAGCACCTCTTAAAATTCAAACAGTGCTACGGCTTGTAATGACTGCAGCCGTCTTGGCGACCAGCTTGGCTTTCGATACATGTGGAAACGGACATTCGCCTTTAAGGGGTGTCATAGTGGACTGACTCGAAAATTGTCTTGTTCTACATCAATTATACAAATAATCGATTTTAGACATTTGCGGCAAACTGAGCCTCAACAGTTTACGACCTCACAAAGTTTTCCCAAAAGAGATATGAGCCCTCAAAGGAGAATTTCCCAGATATTTTATCTTGTAGAACGCTCTGTAAGGATGAATATCTTAAGTTATGGCGCAAAGATCCTTCATTCCTAAGTTGTCTCAACGCCAAACTGCAGCAGTCAGATATAATCGTGAACCCGGATGACTGCGAAATAGATTTAAAGACTACAGCAGTGGCGAATGCCACCTCCAGTGACTCTGGCCTAGGTTGCGCTCCACATTACTTCTCAGACTGGAACAAGCTGTTGAAGGCAATAACTTGGATGACTGGATTCAAATGCTGTATGTTCATTTGCGTTTTAGCAGAAGTGATATATCTCTTAATTTGACTCCATTGAAGGTGGGTGAATTGCAACATGCTGGATAGGTGGCAGAATCTAGAAAAGAACTTAAGTTGTTAATGACACCTGGTAGTTCAGAAGTGAGAACATTTAGTCTTCCATTGAGCAGCCCTCATCCTATCTTATTAAGTGGCTTGATTTGTGTAGGCAGTAGACTACAAAACTCGTTTTGGTTCAGTGAACGGGAACACCTGGTAATACTGCCTTCGAAATATTATGTCACATAGTTGATTCCAAGGCACTGCCACAACATGGAAGGGCATGCAGGTGTTACACAGGTACCGGCAACTACTAAAGAAAGGTTTTGGATATCACGAGGAGGTGCAGCAGTGAAAACGTTCATCGGAATTTTTATGCGGTCTAGGAGAGCCGAAGGCCAGAACTGAGATGAACAGCTACCGTTTCTCTTCAGTAAATGTGGACTGTTTAAGGCGGATAATACCGACACTAGGTAGAAGATGTGAAAAATGCAATGGCTGTACTTCGTCTTGTCTGAGATTATGAGCCGTACATTTAGAGGTAGCGCACAATCTCTCCACAAACTCCTTTATTATAGTTTATTGGTAGGAGAGGACATCAGAGGGAAATATTCAGTGACAATGGGACCAATTTAGTGGGGACGATAAGGGAATTAGATGAATGCTTAAGGGACAGGAAACATGAAAGTAAGCATAGCACCTAAGTGAGCACAGTTATAAACTGACATTTCAACCCATCAGCTGCAAGCGATTGCAGTGGTATTTGGGAACACATGGTCAGGGTAATATTGATATATTTATTCCTATCTATGTAGGACACACCAGTTGTACAGGCATGGATAAGTATTATTTACATTACATGAATTTGATTTATGGTGAAATTACATGGTTGTGGTCCTCTCTGACATTAGTTAGTGAGTACAATCTGATAGCTAGTCGTTAGGTAGACTTTTTTATCAGCAACCGCCAAATGATGAAGGCCTTGTAACTTTATCGATAGAAGCTGACCGTATTTTAAATAAAAGACCTCGGATATTAGAGACCTCGAAGTGTTAGCACTTGCCAAGCTAATTCACCGACAGTGATCAGTGGCCACTAGGGCTCGTGCAATGTGTGGTGCCAAGTAGAGCTGGTTTACTTAGACAAATGGAAGAGAAGGCCAGGGGAACACTGGTAAGGAATATTAGGAAATTTCTTCTCTTGGAAGCCAGCGACAATAGGGCCTATTAGGGCGGTATCTAGGTGTACTGGTGTGATTCCTAGATACTTAGAATAAGCCTTATTAGGGGGTTACTAGGTTTACCGTTGTATATCTTGGTAACCGAAGGCAGTAAGTGATGGTAAGATATTTGCGTGTGTCGTGCAGCGGTTGCTTGTACAGGTGAAAAGGGAGTGCATATTGTTTGTTGATGAATTTCTTCTCTCTGTTCGGAGTTTAGTGCGTGCAGTGTTATGTAATTATTAGCCTTAATGAATGAATATATTATTGTAGATATTAATTTTCGGCTGTTTGAAAAAAACTAACCTTCTTTTGGCTAGGATTGTAAAGTCTAATGTTGTACCTTTAAACACCAAAGCTGTGATTTATATACTTTTTGTATTTTTTGTTACTTAGACAGTTTGTGGTTCACTGAACTGTTGTACATCCTTTGTTTGAATGCAAATTTCTGTTAACTCCGAGTCATTTTGTGTTAAGCTATCATGTTCATGGTATTTGGATGCCTGGCAGCCTCATATTCGAAGGTTTTTTCCATGCTAATCCGGTACATTTTCTTCAGTAGGACAATAATTTTGCGTTCTTCACCAGTTTATTCTCCATGGAACTATTTGGCACAGTTTGGCTTCGTTTCGAATTTGGTCGAAGACTGTGAGTCCGTTTCTTCAGAGTGTTACTCGTGCAGTGTCTTTAGCAGTCGGATTCGGACTGACAGCTTGCTCTGAGCATGCTTGTTGAAAATCGCTGTTTAGAATATGCGTATCCTAGGCAAGACGTTCTTTTAACTCATCTTGAAAAGTGACGACGCTAAAACATGTTCCTACTGTCAAGCCTCAAAGCTTCCCACGAATTGCTTCGAAGAGAGCACATACCGGTCCCCTCAGCAAGTCATGGCAACTATCAGATACATGCCGCATAATGTACAGACACTGTGCAAGTTACACAGAATCAATTCACCACAGAGTGAACATTCTTGATTAGGCCTACCACGGGCGAATGAAATTCCGACGATACTAGTCGGCGACTGCCTCCACGTGAAGGTGAGGTGATCCACGGGAACGCCGGCAGGGGTGAATCCAGAGCGAACTACTGCAGCATCACCATCATACCCGATTTATTTAACACACAGACATTTTGCCTCCGAAGGACTTAATTATCGAATTCTCAACCCGGTTCTTCAAGCCGTCGTGATATGTGTGCAATGGCTGATAAGCCTCTACCTTGGCACTTTGGAGTCCGCGCAAGTGGAGGTCTACGCCATCAACCTCTATAACATGGATTTCGTCCGTAGTGTTAATCCAAACCATCGGGGGTATCAGTCCTGCGGGGCTTCGGTATACTACTGAAAGAATGGGTGGGCTAGGCTCGATCACGATACAGTTTCCATAATCTCACGAGGTGGCCATGAGGCCTATCGGTTAGATTTTCAGCGGTGGGGTGTAAGACGGCAGTGTTATCAGCATAGCACCACCCAACGTTATTAAAAGACGGTCAGCGGATCCAATTTCTATCTCTTTCAAGCACACTGATTGCGCATCTCATATTTCTCGAAGGGAGAGCTTCTGATTGACCTAGCTCATGTCCAGCATCTTACGATGCACACTGACATGAACCACAGGAGTTT